CTGAAAAACATGGGAGAAATATGTTAGTCTTGGCAAAATTTTTTGAATATAACTCCAAAAGTTCAGGAAATAAAACCCAAAATTGACATTTTCCACAGAATTATAAAAAGAAAATCAGAAAAATATGGAAACACAGAAGACCCAGAATAACCAAAGGAATCCTGCGCAAAAGGAGAAAGGCTGGAGCCATCAGAAAAACCTGATTTCAAATTATACTACAAAGCTGTAGTAATAAAAATAGCATGATTAGCACAAAAATGGGCACATAGACCAGTGGCATAGAACAGAAGACACAGAAACAAACCTGCACAACTACAGCCATTTGACTTGGCAAAGCAACCAAAAATGTATGTTGGGCAGAGGACATCCTCTTCAACAAATAGTGTTAGGGAAACTGGGCATTCATATGAGGAAGATTGAAACCAAATCCCTATTTCTCACTTTGTACTAAAATCAATTCAAAGTAGATCAAACACTCAAGTAATTTTGAAACTTGAAGACTCTGGACAGTTTGGAACTTCTAGAAGAAAACTTAAGGAAAATGCATGAAGCCGTAAGCACAGGCATAGACTTTCTGAGCAAGATGCCTACTGCACAGGATGTAATAGCAAGAATCAGTAAACAGGAGTAAAAGTTAAAAGTTTCTGCACAACAGGGGAAACAATGCAGCTAGGAGCCACACCGGGTGAGCGCAGCAGAGCAGTGTCCCTTGGGCTATAGAGAGCTAAGCTGAGTCGGAGGGGATGGAGACAGGCAGACAACCACCTGGCCCAGGTACCAGCCAGCCCCACCCAGCACCTGTTATCTGTGATCTGGTGAAACTCACCTCCCAGTGCACACTGCTCCCAGACCCTGTCCTCATGGTCAGTGGGCCCCAGTGACCGAGGTAGTCTCAGGGAAGAGACTGCTCCGACCAGGGAGCCTAAGAGGGCCAGAAAACCAACCAGAGGACAATATCAAGGCATTTGGGACAGAAAGAAATGGGGACCTGGATCTGGGCAAGGACTCAGAAGTGGGCAGGGGCAAACAGTGGCTCCACTTGGAGTGAACCAGAAGTGGAGAGACACCATAGCGGTGCCACAGTGGGTGCATTCCTACCTGCACTCTGGACACCATAGGGCTTTGTGCCCACTCCCTGCCCTCTGGCTTTCCAGATGCTGTGGAGCTCAGAATCTGTGAGGGAGCCATGCAGGGGCCATTAGACACCCATTTGTGAGCTGGGAGCCCTCGAGTGGCTCCCATGCTCTGCTGAGGTGTCTGAGGAAGAATACAATCTGCTAAACTCCCGGTGCCCCTGAACTTCCACAGGGAGTAGAGACAGATTCCCAGAGAGGCTCCATCATAGAGTTTAGAGAGGGCACAGAGACAGAGGCGTTGTATCTGTGCCTGCACAAAAACATGGAGGAAATGGACTGAAACACTTGTGGACATTGGTACAGAGGAAAAGGGGGCTAATATATGTATATATGTGTGTATGAGGTCAGTGCTGGTAAACTGAAAAGAAAGAATTAATGCATTTGTTTGAAAAGTATCTTTTTGGTCATATGAGAAAACCCCACCAAAAATTGTATATAGAGGGTCCAAACACAAGCTTTCTATCCATTTATTAATGATTTCCAACCTTTACACAGCTTCCCTCTATCTGCAATTACGCCTTTCACCCTATTTCTTATCCCCCACCCCAGCACATTTTCTTTACCTGCTCCATTCCACATATAAAAATATCACCTCCACTCTATTCTGTGCTCTTGCTTGCTGCACTACATTCTCTCTTTTCTTCTTCCTCACACCTTCCCTCAACCTCTGTATCTCAGCCTGCTTGTCATTAGCACCAAACCATTGTCTTTCTGGGTTACTGAAAAGGTGGAAAAGTATGGAATTGTCAAAATAAGTTTCAAATTGTGTGAGTGATATATGGTCAATTCCATAGGTACTGAAAAAACTTTCTACTTGCCACTCAGTGAGTGGGACAGACTCTGCTATATTGGGTATTTTGAAGAGGGGCATAAACCCCCAAACATAACCAAATGCAAGGACACATTACAGGAAGACAGAATCTAATTAAAGAGATCTCCACATTCATGACAGAATTTCTCTGCTCTGATTTGGAAACTCACAGAGCAGTAACAATAAAAAAACTTGAGAAAGTCCATAATATGACTCCAAACATCTCTAACTCCTCAAAAGTTTATCTCAGGGGTACGGAAATAGAAGCAACTACAGGAAAATAACTTAAAAAAATCTCCCCAAAAAACAAAGGGTTAAAACATTTGAAGAGCTAAAAAAAAGAAACAAAAAAGCATATTCTTGAGTTGTTTAGTAAGCTCAAAGAAGATTTTGTTAAACAGATAAAAGGTTTGACTATACAACGATCAACAAATTCAAAGAAGACACAAACAAGAAAGTAATCAACAAAAAAGACAATACACACCATTAATGAACATTTTGATGAAGAAATAGAAAGTATATAAAAAAGCATAAATGTGCCATACAAAAATTGCAATGGAAAGCATAGGTTGTAGTTTTGACCAATGTGAGGACAGAAAGCTAGTGAATATAGTAGATATAAACTCAAAGATATCATAAAAGCAAATCACCACATAAACTAGATCCAATAAGTTCTCAATAAGTCAAAAAAGGAACCCCTAAGTTGTAGGAATAAAGGAAAATTAGTGTATAAATCACAATGAATAAAAATTTCATTAATTTAATTATTAGCAGAAAAATTTATAAGTCTAAGGAAAGGATCCAACTTTAAAGTACAAAGAGGCATGAAATAGCTACAGCCAGACAAGAACCTTTCCTCAACACATTGCAATCAAAATTCCAGAAATCCAACAACAGGAAAAAAATACTAAAAGCTTTTAGGGAAAAAAGAAAGCAATCTATAAAGCCAAATCTATCAGAATAACATCAGATTTCTTAGCACAAGTCTTAAAGGTCAGGAAAGCACGGAGCAGTGTTTCAAACCCTAAAAGTTGTCTGGTATGGATTTAGCTCAGTGACACTGTGCCTACCTCACATGTGCAAGGTCCTGAGCTTGAGCCCTGATACCAAAAAAAAAAAAAAAAAAAAAAAAAAGAAAGAAAGAAAGAAAACAATTGTCAACCCAGGATTCTATATTGTACAAAATTAACCTTCACAATCCCCAACTTGAAACTACTACAAAGCCACTGTTATAAAAACAGCTTGGTACGTGCAAAGAAACAGACCCTAGCATCAGTGGAACAGATTAGAAGATGCAGAAACAACTGACATACCCAGCTACCTCATCTTTGGCAAAGAAGTCAACCATCCTCACTGGAGGAAAGACAGCCTCTTTAATCAATGGTGTTGGAAAAACTGGATTTCGACTTGCAAAAGATTAAAAACTATATCCCTATCTTTCACCATGCACTAAACTAAAATCCAAGTGGATTAAAGATCTAAATATTAAAACAGAAACGCTGAACTTGCTGGAAGACAAGTAAGGCAAAACTCTTGATGATATCAGCATAGGAAAAGACTTTATGAACAAATCCTCAGTAGCACAGAAACTAGAACAAAGAATCCACAACTGGGATCTCATCTTTTTAAAAAGCTTCTGCACTGCCAGAGAAATCACCAATAGAGCTAATGTGGGGAAAAAATTTTACCAGCTGTTCTTCAAACAAAGGTCTACTTCTAGAATGTATAAAGAACTAAAAAAAAAAAAAATCAGCCCCCACAAATATAAAGACCCAATTAAAAAATGGGCATCTGAAATGAACAGACATTTCTCAGACAAAGAAGTAAAAGCAGCAAATTAACATGTGAAAAAATGTTCATCACTTCTTATTTGAGAGATGCAGAGGAAAACAACACTGAGATTCTACCTCACCCCAGAAAGAATGGCTGTTTTCAAGAAATCAACCAATAACAAATGCTGGAGTGGTTGTAGGGAGATAGGAACCCTTCTTCATTGTTGGTGGGAGTGCAGACTGGTGCAACCACTGTGGAAATCAATATGGAGATAACTGAAACAAATAATATCAGAAGTCCCATTTGACCCAGCTATTCCTCTGCTGGGTATCTTCCCAAAAGAATTAAAGGAATCATACCACAATGATATACATGCTCACCCATGTTTATAGCAGCACAGTTTGTAATAGCTAAAATTTAGAAACATCCTAATTGCCCGTCAACTGGAGACTGGATAAAGATGTGTGTTTTTGTTGTTGTTGTTGTTGTTTTGTTTTTATAAAATGGAGTAGTACTCAGCCACAAAGAATGAGAAGCTAGAGATATTATAGCTAAGTGGATGCACCTTGCGGCCATACTCTTAAGTGAAATTAATAGGACACACATGTGTAAATACCAAATAGTTTCTGTGGTATAAAAACAAAAAGTATACATAAAGATCAAAATGTATAATTGATATTGTGCAATAGGAATAAAAGGTCTAAAAATGTAGAGGAAGTGGGAGGAGTAGGGGAAAGGTTAAAAGGGAAAATAAAAAATATGAGAAAATGAAAAACATGGGAACAATGTCTTTGTAAACAGGGAAGGGTGGAGGGGGTGAAGGGAGGGCTGGGGAGTGGGGAAAAATAAGGACCAAGATAAGTCATGGAAAGGTACAATTTCCCGATGATGAATGTGACTGTATTGTATGCCTAAAGTGTACCAATAAACTTAATTTAAAAAAAAAGAATTGACAGAGAAATGGAAGACATTCATAACAAAGAAATCCTAAAGAAATACTTGATCTCTAAACTAGTATTTCAGAAAATACTTAAGGGAATCCTAGACAGAGACAGGGAGGCCACCAGTACTAAAGAGCTCAAAGGAAAGTATACAGCTAACAAGGAGAATAGTTAAGCATGAGGGAAAAAAATAAAGGAATCAGCAGTGGAAAATAATGCAATGACAGAATTCAGTAAAGACCTTATCATAACTCACAGTGTTAGTGATCTTAACTCTTCTATCAAAAGACAAAAACTGACAGATTGAATAAAAATACATTCCAAACATATATTACTTACAGGAGACACACCTTGTCCAAAAGGAATCTCATAGACTGAAGGTGAAAAGATGGACAATAATATTCCGTGCAAACAGAGCTTGCAAGCAAGCAGGAGTGGTTATATTATTTTTAGACACAGCAGATTTCAAGCCAAAACTTTTCTGAAAAGAACAAGATGCACACTAACATACTGGTAAAAGTAACAATTCAACAGGAAGAGGTAACAATTGTAAATACTTATGTACCAAATGTTGGCACACCCATGCCATAAAACAAAAGCTACTGGACACAAAAAGATGGCCACAAATATGATCGTAGCAGGGAACTTCAATAACCCCCTCACACTTAGGATAGATAAACCAGAATTTTAAAAATTAACAAAGGTCAGTGTTAAACCACAGCATAGAACAAATTGATTTAACCAATATCTAAAGAATATATCATTAAACAACAACAGCCTCTATTTGAATATACCTAGGAATTAGCCTAACCAAGGAAGTGAAACATTTCTACAAAGAGAACTACAGTACTGTGAAAAGGAGACTGCAGGTGACATCAGAAAACGCAAAATGTCCCCTGCTCTTGGATAGGCAGAGCCAAATACAGTGTTATCAAAACAGCTACACTCCCCAAACTGTTACACATATTCAGTGGAGTCCCAATCAAAATACCAGTGTCATACCTCACAGATATAGAGGAAACAATCCCAAGATTCAGACGGAACCAGAAGAGACCCAGAATAGCAAATGCAATCAGGAACAATAATAGGTATTGCAGTAGCTGACTTCAAGCTACATTACAAAGCAACAGTGATACAAATGGATCCAGTTTCAGTTTTCTGCACACAGAAAACCAGTTTTCCCAGCACCGTTTGTTGAATAGGATATTATTCCCTCAACACACATTTTTGGCCCTTTTGTCAAAGACCAAATAGCTGCATGTGTCTGTGGATGTTTCTGTATCCTCTGTTCCATTCCACTTCCAGGCTAGCTATTCCTCACACAGAGGAGCAATATTTAGAATACATAAAGAACTCCAAAAGTTAGATTGCTCCAAATAAAAGGCCTAATAAAAATGGGAATTAAAATGAATAAATTCTTCTTAAAAGAGGAAATGCAAATGGACAATAAGTATATAAAAAGAGTTCAGCATCATTGGCTATTAGAAAAATGCAAATCAGGATGACATTGAGACTCCATCTTACTCCGGAAAGAGTGGCTATCATCAAGAACTCAAGAATAAAACATTAGTGTTGGCATGGTGGGAATGTAAACTAGTATACTAGTATAAACTACTATAACTAGTATGGACATCAGAATGGAGATTCCTCAAGCAATAACAAAGACAATAACAACACCCCCCCAAAAAAACCACCAAAACTAGAAATAGAAATATCATTTGTCCCAGCGGTACCTCTTCTGGGTAACTTCTCAAAAGAATCGCAGTGGTACTTCTCTTAATTCTTTCCACAGTTCTGGTTGTGAACCAAAATGCAATTGTTACATTTGGCTTTGACCTTATGGGGAGCATCATATTACAGTGATAAATGCAAATCACAATAACTAAATCTTGGAAGAATTATATATGTGTATCAATACATCAGTAGATAAGGAAAATGTGGTATATATACGCAGTGGTATACTACTTGGCCAGAAAGAAGGATAAATGTAAGTCATTTGGAGAGGAATGGATACACCTGGAAACCACAATGCTAAGTGAAACAAACTGGATGTAATAAGTTAGATATTTTATGGTTTCTCTTATATGAGAGACATAAATTGCCAGTAATTTAAAGGTCAAGACAAAAGAGGATACTTGCAAGCAAAGTGGTGGAACCGTGGGAGATGGGAACAGGTTTTAAGGATGGAGGGAGATAGGAAAAAGAGAAAGGGAAGAAGTAAAAAAGATGGCGCTACAATATGTTTATGTACAACCTCCCCACAACCCATGTATTCATTATGGTATCACAAATGTACTAATATAAAAAGGGCAGCACCAACTTAGATATTCATTGATGGATGAGAGGATAAAGAAAATGTGGTATACCTGCATAGTGGAGGACTGCTCAGGAGAGTGGATGGAAATAGGGATTATCATGTTCAATGAAATAAACCAGACTCAGAATGGTGCATATTGCATGTTTTACTTAATATGTGGAGCCTAAAACAGTGATGTGAAAGAAGGAGGAAGACTATCATTTGACAGGAGGAAGGGAATAAGAGGAGGGAGGACAAGAAGGGTAGATGGGAGACGGATATAGTCAATATGTTACGTGCACGTGTGAAAATACGTTGGAACTCAGTGTTTAATAAAATTGATAGGCACTAACAAAGACAAATTTTAAAATATAAACTAAATTGGTCTTACTTTTCCTTAAGACTCCATTGAAAGATATTTTCCCCAGAGAAAATGAATATAAATAATTTTTTTCTTTTCTTTATCGTATGGAAAAGTTTAATGCTAATGTGGAACTTTGCCTTTAATTGTCTGAGAGGGGGAGTAGGTTACTAATATTTCATTTATGCACCATCTGATCATAGTTAAAATTGGAAAGAGTTCCAATAGGAAAATGTAATTTTAAAATCCAATTAACAATTTGAAAGTGTTGAGTACATCTGGGTTTTGCACACACAGGCACACAGCCCCCTTAGACCACTTTAAAAATATGTGTCACCCTCAAAATTTCTATCATCAAACTTGTAGATTTTATCTCTAGCATTTTGACTAGAACTCAGAAAAACTTGAACAGTCAGAGTTGACTGCCGGATTTAATGAAGTGCAGCTGACCATGCATGTATATTTTCACTTGTGTAATGCCTGCTTTCCCTAAGGTATTGCCTCTGAGTGTCTGGGTGGGGATCCCAGCAGTAATTTAAACTGGTGTTTCATGGATGTGTTTTACTTTCAAGGCCTCGTCTGATGCATAAACCATTTACTTTATGAATTCCTTGACGGTGTTATGTAATCAAATTTAAATACTCATAGATCACTTATTTATGTCATCTCTTTTCCCACTTATTCAACTGAGACTTACAACTCCTAAAATCATGTATTTCATTCGTCCCTTCTCTGACCTCCCGCATTTATGCCTACATATGTTTAAACGTGTGCAGTTTAAATGCGTGTTTTGATACTTATCCAGCTCTTTATTTTGCTTGGTTAACAGTTAACACATTTGGTATCATTTCACTTATTTCATCTTTCTCATAAAAAGGCCAACAGCCCTAAATTCTGTATGGAAGGCACCGTTCTCCAGTCACACTTCATATATCTGGTATTATTGGGAAATGAAGTTTCCACGTCGTTGAATTTTCCGGATAACGCAGCTGAGTCCAGCATGCGTTTTTGAGCTCCTACCATGTGGCAAGCACAGAGACTGTGAGACCAAGTAAATAAGCTCTCAAAGCTCGTAGCCTGGGGCTAGGGCTGTGGTGGGGCTGCCTCACACAGACTTTCATAACTAGAATACAATCTGCTAAGCACCATGATGTCAGTGTGCTCTAAGTGTTGTGGAAATATGAACAAAGGGAGAATTAATTCTTTATTTGGGTGGTGAGGGCTTTGGGGGAAGGCATTGTGAGGCGTTAAACTTTGAGTTGAACAGTTCAAGATGAATAGGAACTCTCTCTAGGCATCAAGACAGAAAGAGAAACAGAAAAGACAAAAGTATCTCAGAAGAAATATCAAAATGTATCAAATATATCAAAATGTTTAAATGTATGATGAATTATACACAACTGTTCATGTAAAGTGGCTGATGCCAGTGCTATGGCTAATAAGAAAAGTAGCTAGCATGAATACTTACCATCTGTCTGGTGCTAAGTGTTTTATTTGAATTAAAATTTTTACATATATATATATATATATGTATTTATATGCTCCCCAAAGAAAATATGCTTTATGTAAGTCAACTGTTTCCTAATGCTGTGTTCTAAATATACCTTTCTGTCCTTCGCTGTAAAGCACTTTAACCTCATCTGGTTGATGTCACTAGGCACCTTCGCTCCTTGGGAGTATTTAGCTAAGCTGTCATCGGGCAGGTTCACAGGCAGCTTTATATTTACATAATTGCCCTCCTCCCACCTCTTTAAGATTTGTGATTCTTCCATGGACATTCTTCAGAATGCACATTGGCAATTTCTGCTCAGCAAGATTTTCTGGGCCCTGGAGAGCAGGATACTTGGGTGGTAGATGCCCTTTTCTCTAAAGTGTATGGAACAGTATGCCAGCCGTACACAGCATGCGAGCCATACCTTAAGCTCTATATCCCTGTTTCTCCAGTGAGGCAGTCTGGCCTCTCTAGAAGGCACTGGCAGGGCCTGGGGTCTCTCTGGCTTTCGCAGCTGGTTGCAAGGGGCTGTGGTGTGCTGCTGGCATCTGGTGTGTTGATACGCCGAGAAAGATACAAGGGCAGAAATGCTGCCTCTCCTGAAAGGGCCAGAGAAGTTACTCCACCCCACAGACGATGAGCTGATCCACTGTTCATGCTACCCAGGTTGAAAAATCTGCTTACTAGAAACTTCAAGCCACAAACCTAAACATAGGCATGATTTGTCCCATAAAATCATGGACTGGATTGAATTTTTCTTTGACTATTTCACGTTTTGGGTCATAGGCACATATATGAAACAACTCTTAAAATCTTGTATTGAATACATTGCTCAGTCATCGAGGCCATGAAAATGTGTTTGACTCTTTATGTAATAGTTTTGTCTTTTTTTTTTTTTTTCCTTGCTGAATGAAGAGAACTCCTGTGTATAAGCCCGGTAGCACATGGTTAGATTTTTCACAGGGAAATAGTGTGGGATGGTATAATGCCAGGAAACCTGCTGAATATTAAAAATGTCTTGATAATTCAGAACACTTGAATTATTTAGTGGAAATTCAATTTGTTTTGCAGATCTGCCATAACACTCATTCAATTTTAGCTAATATTACTCCTTTACCAATTTTCATTTGAACACTTTAAATACAGCATAGAATCAGATAATCTGAAAAAATTGATACTGTGAGATAAAACTGTATAATTTCGCAGTTGTTTTGGTATGAAAAAGAATTACCATTTGAAAATATCAAACAGCAAACAAATTCAAATTCTAAGACTAAATTCTAAGTCTGCTTATGGAAGAAGTTTTTTTGACTAAAGAAACTTTAGAAAAAGGATATTTTTTATTAGTTGGCAATTTTTTGCTAATTTGCTTTGAACTAGAGCTGTAGGTTAGGTTTCTAAATGCTATGATGGTATTTATGTCAAAGACCCTGTGAAAGATGCATGCTTTTTCCTTTGGTGGCCATTTTTACTTCACTTGGTAAGTTATTAAAAAAAATAGGAGACAGGAGGAGGAGAAGTTGTAATAATAGTGAGTTCAAGAAAAGTGGAGATGTCATTGCAGATTGTAAAGTTTTCTTTCATAGAAATGAAATATTATGGCAATTTTTTTTTCTAAAATTTATCTGTATACCTTCCAGGCAATTTCCTAAAGCTTATCTTGACCAGGTTTATTACTTAATGATTAGGTAGAGGAATACCTCTTCTTTTGATTAACTATCATTTTTATATCCTTTTTCTTTCCCTAACTATTCCTTCTTATATGTGTGTGTGTGTGTGTGTGTGTGTGTGTGTGTGTGTGTGTGTGTGTATATATATATTATTTGGATATATAGATACAATTGAAACTATAGGAATGAGGGGGAAATTTCTCTTTTACTACCTCTGTTGAAATTTCACTTCTTGAAGTTCTCAATTTAACATTCTTCTTCTAATGGAATTTAAAGGTTAAGGTTTTTACAGACTATATCTATCAATAAATGTACCCAGGGCCAGAGATTTAGTTCAGGTGTGCCACAATCTGCCTCATAAATGCAAGGATCTGAGTTCGATTCCCCATACCCCCCCAAATAAAAAGTTCCCAAAGATGAAGACAATAAATAAACTTCTATATCTAAAATGTATAAATATGTCTTAATGGCATTTTGTATTA